TTGAGGAATTGATCACCCTTAATATCTTGTTGATAGTAGACGGGATCTTAATGAATGGGATAGACTTGTCTTGCTAGCTTGATAGTGAGTAAAGTGAATTGACGTTCTATCGAGAGGATAATTGTTCACCATTTTGTGTGAACCTAATATAAAAGTGGCTATGAAAGAGTTGGAAATTATGGAGCAGTTCGGTGACTTGAGTTGGTATGCGAGCTAATGTCGCAGAGTAGATGGTTGAGGATATCGAAAAGTGAACAATGATTTTTTGGTGGTTACTAAGGAGAGTCTGAAGATAGATGTGAAATTTGTAGATCTGATGGTTATTGGAAATCAAAATGAAGACATTGACTTAAGATAGATGAATAGAGTAGCGTAGTGGAAGTGTAATGTGGCGCAATTTTTTATGCGGGTATAACTTTGGAGTCAAAGATTGAACATTAGAAGTTGTGGGATAATGCAAACTATTAGACATTCCATGATGGAACTGTTAGGTGAAAGGTTACCTATATTATTCGTGTTATCACCATGTCAATAGATGTATTGAATTGCATGATTGATTTTTTTTTTTTGGGATATAGCATGGTGGCACTAAGGTTGTGTTGATGTTCTTAAGACGATATTATTGTATGATGTAATAATATAGACGATGTTTATGTCATGAGACTCCGCGTCCTTAAGCTATATTATTGTATCGTTTCCTATGGCAAGGACTCGAGGGTGAGCATATTTTTCCTTATGAAGAGAAATTAGAGAAGCGTTACTTATAGTGACTGAAGAGACCTTGTTGTGCTTTGTTTCAAGTGCGAATAATATCGTAAAGTAATAGATCTTGTATCGCAGGGTGATGGGACAAGGAGAAAAATGGATATGTGCATTTATAACTTGGTAGTAATGCATCTTGTTAGACTGTTATAGTTGATGATATATAATGTTGGATAATAGTATTCGAAAGGTTTCCAAACATGACGTTGGAGCTGTAGGGTGAGATGCAAGAGTCGTATCTGAAGTTGTTCGCAATAGGTAATTTTCTAGGAAGAAAATCTTTTAAGTGGGGGAGAGTTGCAACATCCTAAAAATCTAAATTAGTTATTTAATTAATTTAGTATGAATATCAGTGATAATTGGTGAATATATGAATTATGGCGAATTAGTCGATGCGATATAATTATATGAGTTGGTGGTTTTAATGATGTGATGTGATACATTTGTTAGTAATTAGATTTCTTAGAAATTATATAAATTGAGGTGATAGGGGTATATGGCTAAAAGTGTAGAAACATAAGGGTGAGAGTGATAATTGATATTTTTTGGTTAAGTATGATGTTTACTATTATTTTATAATAAATAAAATATAATTATTAGTAGAATAATAGGATTGGTATTATTTTATTAAATAATTATTTATTGGGTTAGTTATATTATTTGAGATATATTAGAGTGAGGAGAAGAGGAATAGAGTTACGTGAAAATAGAAGAAGAGCACAGAAGTTAGAAGAGGAGAAAAGCAATAAGAAGTTAGGGCAATGATTTCACCGTAGAAATCAAGAATCAACCAAAACTCTAAGATAAGGGGGAATTATAATTATATAAAGGGTTTTCTAATGATGTAGTATGGTGAGATTTAGGTTGCACGATTTATATTTTGATTTCTTCTTATTTGGTTGTTTTGGTTTTTTTTTCCAATTGATGAATTTTCTGGTGATTTTGATGTGCTTTTTATGGAATTGGATGATATGAATTGATTAGGATTGATAGACAATGGTTGATGAATAATTAAAATGATTAAAAGGTGAATTTTGATGAAAAAAATTATTATATTTAGGTGTTGAAACATGGGAGGATCGTAACTAGGAATTGTAGAATTTTTTTCCCTATTATCGCAGGGTAACCGGTCACCCATATATGGTAACCTGTTACCATATGGAAAGTTACAAAAACAGCAGCTACTGACTTGCAGTAACCGTTTAACGTGAGGAATTTTGGAAAACCAAGGTTACTGTCTTGCGGTAACCGGTTACCATAACTGGGTAACCTGTTACCACTGCTACTGACAACATTTTTGGAAAACTTCTAAAACTTATAACTTTTGCCTCGGGCGTCCGTTTGACACGCCGTTTGAACCATTGGAAAGATAAAAATATTTTCTACTCAATAAAAATGATTTGAAAACAGTATGAGATAATTTTATGAGTTTTGTTTCATTCCGATGTTGTGTCGTGATTGCAAAGTTATGAATATAACGATGAATATGAAGAGACTTCTTGATGTGACGCTGTTGTGATGATGTATGTACTATGATATGTGATTGGTGGCCTGTATTATCTTATTCCGATGTTTTGATGTAATTGTGAAGTTGTGAATATGATGATTGAATCGATGAGATTGATATTATGATTGAGTACGATGATGTTGCATGAATGTTTTGATGGTGTGACATGATATGCATGATAATAATGATGAGCGAAGGTGTGTATTGGAGTGGCATTGATAGGTAAGAATAATAAATGTTAAATTAAGTTGTTGCATGTTAGTGTCTCATGCATTCATAAAGCGAAGGCCTATATTGATGAACAAAGGCCTGTATTGGCGAGCGAAGTTGATTGCCATAAATTGGCATGTATTATGCTTAGGTAACCTTGAGCACAAGGTAAAAGATACTATTATAGTTGGGTAAAGATGATTTATGCCACTGCTATGGTTGTCGACTACCTATTGACAAATTGAGGAACTGATAACTCTTAATCTCTTGTTGATAGTAGACGGGTCTTAATGGATGGGATAGACTTGTCTTGCTAGCTTGATAATGAGTAAAGTGAATTGATGTTCTATCGAGATGATAGTTGTTCACCATTTTGTGTGATCATAATATAAAAGTGGCTATGAAAGAGTTGGAAATTATGGAGTAGTTTAGTGACTTGAGTTGGTATGCGAGCTAACGCTGCAGAGTAGACGGTTGAGGATGTCGAAAAGTGAATAGTGATTTTCTGGTGGTTACTAAGAAGAGTCTGAAGATAGATGTGAAACTTATAGATATGATGGTTGTTGGGAATCAATTGATGGTTGTATTGATACATGGTGTTGATACCATTTGCTTGTCTGGTTTAATATCCCAGTATAGGAATTTGATGAGTATTACTTCTGGTCCAACATATGTTTTGCAGGTACATGTTGTGATGTTGCAATCTTGATGTTTGCTTGATTTCTGACCTGCCATAGTCTACTTGTATGTTGCATTGGGATGTATGTGTTTATGCATGGCACTGTACTTTCCAGTTGGCATCTGAAGTGGTATGGAGGTGGTTTCGTTATGTTTATTACATGTGTGGTTGAACTGGCATCTCTTTGGTTTTGTTTGCATAGTGTTGTAGCATTAATGGTATTGGAATGTATGGTTTGCAGGTTCATGTTTCTGCAACATGGTGTTTATGTGAGCTCAAGGTGGCTTTGTGGTTTACAAATGACGCAAGTTTGGTTGCAGGAAGTTTAAGCAGCTTGTCATGAAGGTGATAATTTGAGGATGAAAAAGCTTGGAAAGGAAGGGTGAAGTTAGACTTTTAGGAACTAGGCTTAGTGCAAAAATTTGTGTAGTTTTTTTATGTATTTGAAATGGATGTAACTCGCGACATCTTGATATTCAATGAACTTTTCTTATCCAAATCAAAGCTCTTTCCACTTTATGTCTTCAAAATATGACTTGTTGTAATGTAGCTCTGTAGTGATGCCCTTGTATCTTGAGCAAATCATATAAATCAAACATTCAATAAAATGCTTCATGACTTTTCCTTTAGAAATGAGACAAACAAGTTGATCAACTTTCATTTTGCTATAATTGCTTATTGTAATATCTCCCACCTTTACCCCAAGTTCAAATTAGTCTTTTTTTTTTGTACCTCAAATGTAATCCAGATGCTAAGCAAAGCAAATTGATGAATAACTTGCATTATGAGTGCATGAATGTGAGTAACAAAACTTTAATATTAAGGTCTCAATGAAGATATGACCTTGACCTTAAAACCATTTGATTATCAAGCTTGTGTTTGTGTATTGCATAGGGAAATACCCTAATTTCAATAATAAATGCAAACACCATGATAAAGCATTTCACCCCACATGATGAAGAGGGCCAAAATGTTGAGAAGAAGTCCATTGGTGATGCATAACCAAGTTTTTTGAATATTCATCTGATAACCTTGAGCACAAGAGATAAACCCCCATCCACGACCTTTGCATCCTTAGTTGAGATAAACCCTCACCCATGACCTTTGCATCCTTAGTTGAGATAAACTTGCAAAAGATAGAAAAACTCTAATGCACAAGTGAAACCCTGATCCCATGACCACTGATCTGAATCATGTCTTGTTGTTAGTGAATGCATGAGGTGTTAAATGACTTAATAGAGGGTAATGTACACGACGATTATGAGATGCATAAGTCAGATGGTTTGAACAAAGGATAGGATAAATTTGGAGTATGACATACATCTTATCTGACATGTTGCTCCAGATGATGAGAACTCCTCATCTCAACATGTCTCAACATAGAATATGACTTCTTGCTCAACTTGTTCTTCTTAGTAAGTTAATACATCATATTTAACATATTGTTACTATATTTGTTTTACTAAAATTAATGTCAATCCTAAAAATAGAAAACTAACAATCATATCTATAGATATATGACTAATTACTCATTAGTTTCACAGTGGTTTTATTCTCCACATATTTGTAACTCATTTCAATTATACATAATAAATATTTATCATGAATATGATTACATTCTTTTTAGAGATATTTTTAAAATTAATGTATCAAAATAATATCATAGTAGGATTATATTAGAAACATGAATAAACTCTAAGTTGATAGAATTTATTTTACTTAAAATTTGAGAAATTTGATATGTTGTGACACTTTAAATTTTATAATTATTTATTTATTTTTAACAATTCTCATATATGAGTGTTTTTTTTATATATATCTCATTAAGAAAATATGAAAGCTAAAAAAAAAAGACGAAAAAAGAAGTAATATTGAGAATTGAAAGCATAGGGTTGAGTTTTGAGCCTCCTATATAAGTTAAGAAATACACTGGTTTCCATTCTGGTTGCGTGACTAGGGTTTTTATTTTTGACATCGGTGCTGCTACTTCGTTTCCCCAATCGCAAATCGAAGCCATGGGTCACTCCAATGTCTGGAATTCTCACCCCAAAACCTACGGACCTGGTTCTCGCACCTGGTATTCCCCATCTTTCTTTATTTTTATGTTTAATCCATTATTTTGCTTTTCGATTTATGTATTTCTTTCATGATACCGCTTTTATTAGTCCCTTTTATCAAACCCTAGGTTTTTCGATCTGTATTTCTGATTACAACTATATACCTTACTGTGTTTGTGTAAGCTCTTTATACTATAATTTTGTTGTATAAGGCTTGATTGTTGTTGTTGTTGTTGTTGTTGTTATGTATTGACGAGATTCGAATTGATTTATGTGATTTATATTGTTTAATTGAATCATGACTCATTAATTTGAAACTCTCATTTTTAGTGTTTTGATGCAGCTATAACTTGTTAACCTAAGCTTTCTCTATTGTTAAATATGTTCCTTCAGCTAGTAGAAAACCCCTTAGTATTTTTCAATTTTGTTGTGGCTTGGTTTTCTAGTAGAGTATATATTGTTAGCCATAGTAGTGTTTTTCTATGGGCACATGGATTTTCTGTTCTGTTTAGGGCACATGAATATTCTGTTTTGTTTGTTATTATGTTCTTGCACTGTGAATTGTCTTAATTTGGAACAAAGGGCTCTGCTACCTTAAATTGTACACTTTTTTTTGCAGAATATTCTTGCTCGTTTATTATACACATTTTCTTGCAGAATGTTCTTGCTTGTTTATTGTATACATTTTTTTGCAGAATATTCTTGCTCGTTTATTGCTTATAATGTTTGTATGTGCTGTAAATCTGTCATTTGTTATTAATTTCCTAGTGTGTAATAACTGATATGATGAGTATGGTTTAGTTACTGGTGTATTTCCTTTGAGATTTCCTGGTTATTTGTACATACTTTGCTGTATGATTGTGAATGTTGTTTACCGTTGTCACCTGTTTTGCAGCCGTGTGTGTGGAAACTCTCATGGATTGATCAGGAAGTATGGACTCATGTGTTGCAGGCAGTGCTTCCATAGCAATGCCAAGGAAATTGGTTTCATTAAGGTCAATATTCTTATATGCTTTTCTACTTTCTAGTGTAGTTTTTCAAATTTCTAGTTATTTGTGCTTGTTTTAGCATAAGTTCTCATCACTTTGCCCTCTTCTTTTGGTGTTGCAGTATCGCTAAAGATTGGGAGTCCATTTACAGTCTCTTGCATTGTTATGTTAATGATGCTAGGATGATTTTAGTTTTTGAAGAACTTGTAATTTTGTGGTTTTTAGTTAATTATGTCTGTTATCAAACTTGAGTTGTGACTCAGATTATATTTAATTACAGTTTTGTGTGGAATTGCTTTCATTTTCGTTATAATTATAAGTTGGATCTTGGCATCTGTGTTCACTGTCTTTTTAATGATCTGAAATGGAAATTGCAACCCTACTCATCATGCCCCTAAACTGGATTTTATGTTTCTAGGGTACAAATTTTAAACTTGAATATGATGCCATTAAGATTAAAGAAGACTCTGAGTTCATTTAGGGTGAGGTTTATCCAAAATTTGTATTGCAATATCTGAAGTAGTTTTGTAATCTTGTTATGGGTCTAGTACCAGAAATCATCCTTACTTTGCTTTGTGCTCATGTCAAGTTTAGGATCCAATTCATTTGTGTTACAATGCTTACAATTGAGACACTCCTTTCATGAGTTTTGTAGGGGAGTGGAAGATGTAAAGTAAAATTTCTATTGAAGAAACAATAAACAATGGTAGTTTTATATGTAGAATTAAGATAGGTTTTGCAATATGCACACATTATTTTTTGAAAATTGGATAAATACCTTTTTTTTTGTTACGTTAGAAAAAAACTGTAAGAAAAGAAATTAAAATTAAATGGTTTAAATTTATTAACTTATCCTATAAAATTTGTTACTGAAATCAAATCACTTTAAATTTGAAGTTAAATCCAAATTTGTACTTGTTAAAGTATATAATGCGTTGCCAACCTATATTGGTAAGGGTCATTAGATGCCCTAGTGATTTTCTGTGATTTAGGGTTTGTTTATGATGGTGAGAAATTCTGTTTGGTAATGTTTTTTACTATGAAAGAGCAATTTCACAAGAGGTGAGAATTTATGTATCTTTAGGTATTTTGTGTACTTTATGAATTGTTTGTCCTTATTTTTGAGATGAAGTATTTATAGAGGCTAATGGACATGTAATTAGGGGTTATCTCGAGAATGATAACCGTCCATTTAGTAATAGTAGTGGACTTTTGAATCTTTACTTCCTAAGAAGACATGATCTAGTCTAATGAGTCGTCTTTTTTTTTTTTTACCAAGACATCTCTTTCTTAAAGCAAGGGTTTTGCAAAGGGCGAAATGCTTTAATTGCTCCTCTGTTCTATAGAGATGTTGAGTCTTTCGGGCGAGACCTTGGTCTAAACCCTTGGGTAAGACTTCTAGGTTAAGTCTCTCGGGTTAGACTTTGGTCGAGTTTCTCAGTCGAGACATTAGATTGAATCATGTATGAGGATATTTTAAGTCCCTCAGGCGAGGTGTTAATGAGCCTGTTTGACGGGACTCTAAGTCCTTATGGTGAGATTATAAGTTAAGCGTGTCTTATGAGATCTAAGTTCTTCAAGCGAGGCGTTGAGTCTCTCGTGCGAGATGTAAAACCCTAAATCTCAAACACATATTTTATAAAGCATGCATAATAAAATACTCAAAAGGGTGTCACATTTTTCAACATAACATTCTTAATTCATGATAGTAGCGGAAAATAAACTCTTAACACATCTTCAATGATCTCATAAATAGAAGTCAACTCCATTTAATCAAAAAGTTTAATTAAACAACTAGTAGAAAAGCAACGCATAAAATGTTATTCTCAATTCAGTGTTACACTATTAGAGTGTTACGCAGAAAATTAAACAACGCAAAAAGATAAACAATGAAGAAGACCCACTGTGCCATTCTCCAGCATAAGCAACAACTAAAGCTCCTCAAATTCTACCAGATTATCTACACCACATGCGTAAAGAACAACACAAAAAACAAACAAGGGGTGAGAATACATTCACATATATTAAAGGTGCATAAAACAACAAGGATAATGCAATTAGCATAATTAATCATATAATTCATCCACAACAATTATCATTCACAAATGCAATTATGTATAATATATTCATCTAATCGACTTTAATGCACGTGAGACCAAAATTATGATATTATGAGGTGTATTACTGAAGCATCCAACTCGTCATTGGACCGAAGTTCTAACTCGTCATTGGACTGAAGTCCTACTCGTCATAGGATCAGAGTCTTAACTCGTCATCAGACATGTGTTCTACTTATCTCGATATATACATGATGCATGGATGCTACACAAGGATATGTAATACTCGTCTCAACATTAACTTCAATATTCGTCACTGGTTCTTCTCGAACCTAAAACTCGACGTAAATCATCGCCAATACAAGACCACATTATTGGTTCCACTGAATCAAAACATCTCAACATAAATTAAACAATTTTCCTCTTCATGAGGCATTCATCACAAACTTAACACAATAATTAACAATATATAATTTCTCATTAATACTCATTGAACAACATCAAACAACAATCGAAAATAGAAACCCCTAAAAAATAATCAAGTCAAACGACTCAATTTACACATTAAAAAACTCTTGGTACATTACCATAAGATAGTCCTATGCAATAACTTTCCAACGCTTCAAATTGCGCCTCAATCGAAGTCATGAAACTGCAGTTATGATGGAAATAGTACCTTAACAAAATCAACCTCTTCTGATTTGAATCACATTGATTTCCTGATTCAAATTAAATAAGTCAGAAGCGTTTTTCTCTCTAAAATTTGACCTCTAACTCCAATCATGTTGAAGCTGTGATTAGAATCAAACCAGACATAAACATTTTCTGCTAAATTTTGACTCGTGATTCGAATCATGTTGAAACACTAATTCGAGTCAAACTTGGCTGCATCATTTTTCTGCCAAATTTTTACGAAAATTTCACTTCTAAACCCCATTTATTCAACCTAGATCTACGATTTCGATTTTATAGAACCCTATACACACATCAAATCATCTTACATAAATCATATGGCATTTAAAACATCAATAACACACATATTAATCGTCTATATCATCGATTAGTCACAAAATCATCATTATGTTCACCAATTCAAAGCATATACACATGTACATTCAAACTCATAATTACACATACCGATTCAAACGAAAATTAACAATTAACAGAGTATGAAAACAACAACATATCACAACACCTCATGACAACAACCTAAGAGGTTTTGCATAAACCCATTTAAGGGCCATTTTGTTTATCAATGAAGAATAAGAAAACAAAAAGAAAAGAGGGTAAGGAATCCTCTTATCATTCATGCTTTAACACTCATATCATGAACATTCCCCCTTTATCTTGAGTTCGCGAGAAAGCTTTGAATCTACAGCTACATAGTTGCTTCTCCCACTCTGGCTCTGCTAGAGCTTTTTCTCTTACTCCGCTGACTACTTATTTTACCAGATAGCCCTCTCATTCTATTTCCCTTCTATATTTAAATAAAAACACTATTTTTATTTTTGTTAATTTTATAATTCCCTCAACTCTTAATAATTCTATTCACTGTCTTAATTTTAATTAGTTTCTATTTTCCTCCTAAAAACACAAAATTTTCATTTCTCTATAATTTAAAGTAAATAAAATTTATAATAATTTCTACTAAAAACCTAACCATACTCAATAATACTAATAAACCAATTTAAGGAATTTTAAACTCAACTAAAATTAAAATGATTAAAACCGGGGTGTTATAACTCTTTTCCACTTAAATAATTTTCACCCTCGAAATTATTTGAAGGAAACAACTATGGATAAGATTCCCTCATCTGATTCTCAAACTCCTACGTCATGCTTCCTCTAACAGGTCCTCCCAACACCACCTTAACCAAAGTTATCTGTTTACCTCTCAAGTGTTTCGCTTATCGA